CGCAGACAAAGTTTCAGCAACGTTCAATTACTATGCGGTCAGGTGCAGAAGGCGATCCTCAGATTTGGTGAATTATTTCGATATTTTCCGGTTCCTCAATGGATCTAGTCTAGCAACCATCTTGGCTGGCAGGAAGCTGAGCATGCAGCTCTGCTAACCGCTACGCCACTTGCGCGCCTCACACGAATTGCTCGACTGCTTCATCCGATCTATCCTCTTGTTCTCTATGGCGAAGCAATAATTTCGCCTCTTCCTGGGCAAATATCGTCACCTGCACGACCGCGCGTCCCGCTTACCAGTCATATTTACTGTCTCTTGGTCTCAGTACTTTCCGCTCGCCAAATCTGCAGCAGCTTCATTGCCAGCCGGATCGGCCGCAGCTCGACTCCAAACGCCGTAGCTCGCAGACGCATTATGAACAGAGTCTGACGGCAGGCAACGAAAACTGGTGTCGTTAGTTTGCCGATGCCCTTCACGCCTGTCCGTTGCAATCACAGGACCCATCCTTCCGGCCAACCTCTCACTCAGACTTTTGTTCTGGTGCTGCCAATGTTTTTGTGGCCGCCATCATCTGGTGTTTAGCCCGAAAAGTGGAAACGCGCAGCCTCAAGTTGGCCGAGACCCTCTCGGGGAGCTACATATCGCCGGCGGTAGGTGTTGGTGAAATCTTGCAGAAGCGCTCTCACTTGTCTGATTGCGCTAGGGTCATCACCGCCCAGGCGCTCCTTGATTTTAGTCATCAGTCGGTTTGCTTCGACTGGCGTGATTGTGCCCTGTGGCAGGAGATGGATGGTGCGCTCAACCCAAGTGGTCGTCTCGGCCGGGAATAGCTGGAACATTGCCAGAAGAACGCCGCTGCCATCTGCAAAGCAATCTCGGGGGAAGGTGATCATCATTCCTGCCATGACTTGCTTGACCAGTTTCTCACCGTGTGTGCTGAGCAACTTACTGACGACCTCGCGAATGTGAGCAGCAACATCTGGAGGGAGAACATCTGATGTTGCCGGGTTGTCGCCGCCGTATGTAAGGAGGTCGCGAAGGAAATGAAGCGTAGCCGAGAGAGGATCGCGTTGTTCCAATGTCAAAGCAAAGACGGCTGCTTCAAAGATCGGACCCAGGAGCTCCGAGGGTATCAGTCGTTGCGGGTAGTAAAGTAGTGCGTCAATCAGCAGTCGGAAAAAGTCCTCAATGACATCTGGCACCTCGCCCGGCTGAAGCTCGCTCATGACGCGCAGGAATGTCGTTGTCTGCGCCTCGAAGAAGGCGTATATGCTTTGCGTGATTTCCTGGTCCACGTGCTCCCGATCCTCCGAGAACTCTCGAAGTATAGCTGCCGTAACCCAGAGAAAGGCGCCTTGGCGAGAGGCGGAGAAGCCACTGGCCAGCTTGTTCGCCATCTCTGGCAAGAGCGGCGTCATAGCCGTTCTGTAAGAGATGATCATATTGCGCCAGCACCGGCAAATTCTTTCACAAATGGGAACGAATCCCAGGAAATTGTCCAAGATCGTGGCAAGCACAGGGAAAACCTCTTGCCAGTACTTGACAGCGGGGTTCTCTTCCCCAGGTCCGACATATGGCACTACAACCTGCACAAATGTAGTGACGAGTTGAAGATGGTCTGATATCATGTCAGCGGCGTGTTCATCGATAGGTCTCAATTGCCAACCCACCAGCGAGTGCCAATTTGCCCTTGTCGTCAGTGGCGAGATTGGCTTTGTTCATCAAACGTTGAACCAATGGATCGCAGTAGAGCTTAAGAAGTTTGTAAATCTCAGCAGGCGGCTGGACGGCAACAACACTGGCCACTCCCTCTGTGATTTCCTCCTGACTCATATCGGGAAGTTTGTCGAGTATTTGATCGTAAAATGTTTGCATCTGGAGTACTTGCCCACTGAGGAGCTGCTTGCAGTCAGTGCAGAAATATTTGATGGCCATAGCTGCCGCCCTTACAACCTCTTTTGAGTCTGTCTGGAACGAGGTTACGATGTAATTGAATTGCGGCTCGAGATATTCGGGGTGGGCCGCCGTCCATTCCGTATATCGTCCGAGGACCATGATAGTGGCAAACCGGAGCTTCTCATGGCTAGGGATCTGGACGAGTAACGGCATCAACTGCGGGAGAACAATGTTCTCGTCCTTTTCGACCATCTGTCCCATTGCCCGCATCGCAAATAGCGGAGCCTCTAGCTCTTGCCAATGTGGAACGGAAGTTGCTGTGGCTTGACCGGCGTACTTATGCATCCAAAGCTTGATAGCCTCAAGAACCTTAGTAAGGCAGTCTGTCACGCCCATTACTTCGCACGAGTCCTTGAGAGTGTCGCCCATTTGATGTCGGAATTCGCGAAATCTTTCCTCCTGCTCCCGATCACCATCAAACAAGTCAGTTTCGTCTGTCGATTCTGACTGGGGGTATTCCAAGTGCTTCAGAAGTATATCCACGAGTTTGGAATAAACGTCGACAAGCTCCAATCTCGCCTGAATGTAACGTTCCAGTGTCAGGTACTGCTTGAGCTCATACCAGAACTGGAAGGTGTGCTCAATCACATCTCTGCCCTTGTCTCTGGCCGCACATTCCAAGACTGAATCGACAAGAGGCCGGAAGTGTCCCGGCTCGCGGGCAATAGCTACAACCCATGCCTCTGCAGCCAGAGCGAAGATCTTGGTCAGGGACTTGTATACTTCCGTATCTTCCTCGTTGACAACAGCCTCGATCCTGGGACGGAGAGCAATAACGCGAGGCAGGAGAGCTTGTATCGTGTCGAGATTGTCGTCGACGTCTCTCGTCTCCCGGAAAATTGTGCAGAGACATTCTGCGGCCTCCTGCGAAGCCTGATCGTTGCCCACAGCGTTGAAGATAACGTCGAGAAGAGGGGACTTGACAACATTGCTGACGGGAACCTCACGGAGCCAAGATGTAATACACTCCATTAACTGGGGGTTTTGAGCAGCAGAGGCTGCATGAATGAATCATCAGCGTGGGTTCTAAAATGTATATCGTGTATACGGGTTTAGGACGTACCAGATGATTGGGAGTAGTTAATAAGCAGTTGCACAACCTGGTCCGTATTGTCACCCAGCAATTCCCTGGTCCGCTGGGAAAGCTCTTCTTCCTGTCATTGCCAATTAGACTCTGATCCCTGTTGATATAGGCCCAGCAAAACCACGCCGCTGGAAGTAGAAGGCCGGTCGGTGTTTCCGTGATCCACGTACAGTTAAGGTGATTTTGCGGCCTTCGGTCACCTCCTCGGGTAGCACGCGCAGAAAGTCGAGAATGGCGGCGTGGCTCTCAACGCTGTCCCCGAGAGATGATACTACCGTGGGAAGAACATCCTTCCAGTCCTTCATCTGCACTGCCAGTGTCGCCAGACACACGCAGAGCTGAACTCGTATGGGTTTGGGGCCGGGAGCAAAGTGCTTCAGAAGGAGCAGGATTTGGTCTCGCAGCGCAGGTAGCTCTGTTTCCGATACTTGCGTCGTCAAGTCGTAAGTAATCTGTACAGAGTCATGATCAGCTCACCATTTCAAGAAAGACCACTTGAATGTTCTACCTTTCCGCGCAAAGTAATAGCCGCAAAGAGCTTGGCCTCGGGCTCTGCGTCGGACTGAAGGATGCCAATGATGGTGCCCCATGCATCTTTCTATAACCATTGTTAGCAGAGAAGTAAGCCGGTGACAGCTGCATCGGAATTGTGGTAGTCTGACGGATTTCTGGAAACGTTCCAGGTAGGCGTGCGCCTTCTTCTTTGTCTCTTGCTCGCCGCCGCGCATGGTCACCATTGCCGACAAGACGTCGTTGGGCGCGAAGGCCTCTTGAATCCCGTTGGCGGCCATACTTCAGACGTCTAGCAATGTCGCAAGTGTCAATCGGCTGTTTGATGAGGCGGGGAGCGGGTATGTGGTCGAGAGAATGTGGGAGCAAAACCGCATATGACGTCGTGCGGAAGGACCGCAGGTGCCGCAGAAGGGGTAAGCGATGAGAGATTAAGTTGCAACTCAGCTCTCGTTTCTTTTGAGGCGAAAGGAGCGTTGGGCCAGTGAGGTGGCAATTGGGAGGCTATCAAAGCAATGCGGCGACGTCCAAAATGGGCGGATGGAGGGGGTGGAGGAAGGTCGCGAAAGGAAAATAAAACGTCAGTCAGGCTGGCGGGACAGTAGGCGGGTCCAGAGACAAGCTACCTAGGTAGGTACCTAAGACCTTAGGAATCCGACCTGACTAGATGTCTAAAGCCGGCTACCCTATGCCTACCGCGCCTTACCTTAGGTAAGGTAGGTACTCCGTAACCTAGCACCTACCTACTTAGATAGGGATATAAGTTCACTGGTAAAATACAAGTATGGTTTACCTGCATACAGTACATCAGTGTAACGCATATAAGATCGCTGAGGCACACCTAAAGGTTTGGTAGTGAGCGCCTCACATAATGTACCTATCCGTAGCTGCGCCGACAGCATGTCCTCTCGTACCTTACCTTGGATGCCTAGCATTTCATTCCCTGGAGCTTTCAGTGTAGGCAGGTGCTTACTTACTGGAGATTCTCGAGTTGTTTGCCACGAGCAATCGCCGCGGCACTATTGGAGTCGTTAGAAAGATCTTTGGAGTTGTCTGTAGCACCTTTCAGTGCCCAGTCAGGTGCTGTGAGGCGCCGCCGGCTTAGGCAACCAAACCCGGATGAGCAGAGTGGCCGGGGAAGGGATGCGTCCAGAGTGCCCGGGCACCTCACCTCAGTACCTTAGACCGGATGGAACATCATTTTGCCAGCCCCACCTAAATTCTAGCAAACCGCGGGAACCACCCATACCTGTAACTGACTGAGCCAGGCCAAGAGTCGCGCACCCTCATCGCGCCCCAGCTGCGAAGAAGGTGCTCGCCGACAACTTGCTCCGCCACAACACACTCGACGAAGCCGAACGCGAGCGACAGACAGCATTTGCCGCTGTTCCATATCGTGAAATATCCGAACTCATAAGCGTTGCTCGACCTTTCTCCCACACACCTAAATATGTCAGGACGCGGCGGCGGCGGCGGTCGCAGAGTACTGCTTCCTCCCATCAACTTCATCTTCAGACTCCTTCAGTATGTCGCTGCACAAGTCAGGCCCTATGCGTACCGAGAGGCTAAAACTTTTACAGGCAGCACACGACCGTTCAGATTTGGCTGTACGAGCAGCTTTCGATTCGAATCGAAGGCAAGATCAGGGTGCGGCGAGTCGTTGAGATTCTATCAAGAAGCGCTGTACTGACTTGGATCACAGGGCTTTGACGAGTTCATGAACCTTGTCATTGATGATGCAGTCGAGGTCAAGCAGGTCACAAAGACGAACCCGGAGGAATCACGGCGGCCATTGGGTGAGTGCTGAAGCTGGTGTCAGACATCCTGTTAAGCTAACAACATTGGACAGGTCAAATATTGCTGAAGGGTGACAATGTCTCGCTGATTCAGAGTGTCTCGGAATAGACAGCGATCATGTCGAAGGAACCACATTGCGATGACGGGCCTTGCACACGGATGATAAGAAGGGACAAAAAAGTTTGATACCACGAATTTACCAACATGATGCGGCGGACTGTCAGCGGTTTTTGAAGCTTTCCGCCGGCCTCCTAACCTCCCCGCTGCCGAGGACCACGCCATCGAGCGGCTGGTCGTGTTGTGCGACGGGAACTGTGCTATCTGACGCCTGGGAGAGAAATTGCTCTGATAGAGCCAGGCCAAAGAGCATCAGAGGCTTTGTCGCTACTGACGAAATGTTGTTGTACTTAGCAGCGTAACGTCGAATAAAGAGGTCATAAAATCCCTTGCCATGGCCTAGTCTTCGCAGCGAACCTGACTGGGGGTCAATGTCAAAAGCAACTCCTGGGAGCAGCATAAGGTCCAAGAAAGAGGATTCTGGGGATTCGGCTCCATGCTCACCCAGGACGCGTTGTCTCTGGTCGATGGTGGCCGGGTCAATGCTGGGAATGCCCCATTTGTCCGGCTGCAGCGACTCGTAGTCTTGAAGATCGCGCAAACGGACCATGTCCATGACCCTGGGCGGCGTCTCCTCGGAAGGAAAAGGTGATTTGTGAAGATACGGGACGTAAACTTGCTTTCCGGATGACAAGGCATGGCGCACAATGTCGTCCGTCTGTATCTCGCCGGACGACATTGAGAGGAAAACACTGATCCTCTGTGCCTCCACATAAGGTTTAAATGTCTTCAGAGTTTCGCAGACAGTCCGGCCTTTTGGCGAAGCTGAGCACGTGCGTTCCAAAAGAGGTGAGCAGCTTACTTTGTATGTTGATAGACTCATGAGCTACGCCAGCTAGCCTGTCCCTCATGACAGACCGCAACTGCTTCTTGGCAGCCACTAGCGCGGAGCCCATTGTGATTTGTTACTGTTCCCTCGACTGTCTAGGGAGCGGATGCATGGAAAGAAGTTCTCTGGGTCTTCTAGCATCGGCTTGGTTCCAACTGTGAACGTTATGCGTTAGTTAAAGATGAACGAAGCATGCCGTCGAGAGGGCTTCAAGTGGGGTCTAATTTGAGCGTCTTACTGACGTTCCGTGCGTTCTTAGGATACCTATTATCGATAGTTCACATGCGGGCAAGCGGGGCGTTGTCAGTCGGTGACTTGCACCACAGCGATGTTCTGGGGAGATATGTAATAAATGCAGCATGCAAGTAGAAGGTACAGCGGGGAAAAGTATTGTATGCAGCAGTGTCTGCAACGATAATCCGCATTCACAAGCATTACCTACGTGAAAAAGAGACAAACAGTATCTGGCGTAGATTCATAAAAAAAAAACACATGCTAAGGTGTGTGATAGTGGCTGTGTCGTCCACTGAAAAGGCCACGCGACAACCTCGTCGGGCGAAGCAGTAAGTTCTCCATTGCTGATGTATTGGTGGTGGCTCTCAGCAAGCCATGCTCTGAAAGGGTTTGTCAACCAAACCACGCCAAGTCTATTGGACTCCGGAACCGCACGTACGGATACTTTGGTGCACGTTAATGCGCCAAGAGGCTTGTTGCTTGGCTGGACGTGAAGAAGCCGACACAGGACAGCTCAGTCACATATGGATTGCGAGGCTAAGACGCGGGGGAAAGCGTTGGGGCAGGCGAGGAGGGCCGGCCAGAAGCATCACTGGCAACGCGCCAACCCAGTTGCCAAGGCGTGGCATTCCGCTACCTTGCTTTGCGACTATTCCGACGGCCTCAATAGGCTTGGATCTGTTGTTGGTGACGGTATCCCACGACGAATTCTGGCCTTAATTTCCCCGGGCTGCAGCACTTGAGAGGGACAGGGCGGGCGCATTTCCTATCCCGACGCGAAGACAAGCAACTCCGTGGTAGAGGGAAGGGGTACAATTTGTTTTTTGTGTTATGGTGAACCAAAGACGACATGGGAAAACCCAAGAGCTCCAGCCCTTGAGAAGGATGTACTACATCGTCTATCCGCCGAAATCCGTTCACTACCGCTGCCAGGCGTAACTCGATCTATGCGCAGATTTGACAGGAATGTGGATTCATCCAGTGTCTTACAGTACCCTACCTTGCCTACTCTACTTGGTACCTTTTTGGCCAGCGAGTTACGACGCCATTCCAGGTTCATGTCGTAGTATTGTTCAGATAAGGCGTACGCCACGAAACAAGGGGACCGTCCGGTCTACGATGCAATATACTACCCCGCAAAGGCGCATCGCTGCGCTGCGGTGCATCATCTGTGTCGCCGCTGTGCCTGTATCCGTACGTAGCTGCGTGAGGGAGGGAAGCTTCGGGCCTGAAGGCTCCTGGTACTTCGTGAAATATATAGATCCTTCCCTTAACTCTCTGGTTCATACTTTCAAAGCACCCAAGCAAATGCGTACGCGATAGCGTTTGTTTGTGGTGTAGGCTCATTACTCGAAGGCACCCACTGTGGCGCGACGAGTGTTTCCATTCCGAGGTACCTGCCTCATCTTATCCATGGATGGATGTAGGCAGGTAGTCGATACTGCGGTGGGCAGGCAGGTACATGGGAGGTTCCTACTGTAAGGTAGCCAGCGGCTGCAGTGATACATTGGAAAGCACAGCAGTCGCGGGACGCTTCATAGGTAGGCAGGTACCTAGGTATCTAAAGTACAGTCCAGCAGGAGGTAGAGTACAAACCCGACCTGACTTTCACGCTATGCCTAGCTAGACCTGGAGCTTGAGCCACACTTTTGTGGAGATCCACTCGCCCTTTCAAAGCAAGTTGGAAGAGCCAAGAAACCCCCCCAGAAGCTCCCACGAGCGTGTCGGGCGTCTCTTAACGGCACCTTTTGCCTTCCCTTCCCATTGCCTGTGCCTTCTCGCCATCCGTCCAACAAATACCCCGACCACCCCCTTCCTTAGCTGCTTTCCTACGCAGGCCTCCTTCCAACGCCAAACTCCACAATCTGAACATCTTCAGCTTCTACCAAGCGCTCACGGCGTCCTCCCCCAAGAAACCTACTGTCGCCCACCTCGACCCGTCGCTTCCGTCCGCGCCGTCCACGTCTTGTTCTTGAGCTCCCGAAGGCAGCGACTGCGCACAGCCATAATACTTATCCAGGTAACTAGACGCTCACTTTAGCAATGGCTTCGCCGCCAAAGTCCAAGTACGACACCCTGCCCAGGATGCAGGTCAAGGGCCCATTCTCCGTCACCTCGCCTGGTGCAATTCCGAAAGAGGGGGAGACGTTACCTCGTCGCCTACCCCAGGCTGTTCCTGACCTGATCACCCTTCCCGGAGGCAACATCACCACCACATACGAGCTAGTCAAGTCAAGCGCCGAGAAGTACGGGAACGCAAAGTGCCTGGGTTCCCGCAAGCTCATCACCACCCACCGCGAGTCAAAGAAGATCAAGAAGATAGTGGATGGTGAGGAGCAAGAGGTCAGCAAAGACTGGACCTACTTCGAGCTGAGCCCTTACGAGTACATCACCTACCACGAGTACGAAACACTCACCCTCCAGCTCGGCTCTGGCCTGCGCAAGTTAGGCATGACCAAGGGCGATCGCGTCCACATCTACGCTGCCACCAGTGCGCACTGGCTAGCCATGTCCCATGCCGCCGCTTCTCAGTCCATGCCTGTCGTGACTGCCTATGACACTCTAGGCGAGCAAGGTCTGAGATACTCAATGGTTGCTACTGCCGCCAAGGCCATCTTCCTTGACCCTCATCTTCTCCCTACGCTCGTGAATGTCCTCAACGATGCCAAGGACATCCGCTACGTTATCTGGAACAACCAGAACCAGGCTCAGCAGGCACACGTCGACCAGCTCAAGTCTGCACACCCTCAAATCACTATCCTTAGCTTCGATGACCTGAGGCAGCTTGGCCAAGACAACACAATCGATCCTGTTCCTCCTACTGCCGAGGACTTGTGCTGTATTATGTATACTTCGGGCTCGACTGGCTCTCCAAAGGGTGTCCCCCTGAAGCATAAGGCTGTCGTTGCCGCCGGTATGTTCCCAATCTAGATCTTGAGATCATCTTGATGGCTGAAATTCGTTCCAGTTGCCGGTGTCAGTGTCGTCGTGCAGCCACACATTGGACCTGGCGATGGTCTTCTGACGTACCTCCCACTCGCCCATATCCTTGAATTTGTTTTCGAGAATGCCTGTCTCTACTGGGGGTCGACCATGGGCTACGGCAACCCCAAGACATTGTCCGATACTTCGGTCCGAAACTGTGCTGGCGATATCAGAGAGTTCAAGCCCTCCGTCATGGTCGGCGTCCCTGCAGTCTGGGAGACGGTCAAGAAGGGCATCATCGCAAAGGTCAATGCTAGCGGTGCGGTTGTCAAGACGCTCTTCTGGAATGCCTTGGCTACGAAAACGAGCCTAATGAATGCGGGCCTCCCGGGATCTAGCCTCGTTGATACTGTGTTCTTGAAGAAATTGAAAGAAGCGACTGGTGGACGCCTCAAGCTTTGCATGAACGGAGGTGGACCCATTGCCAAAGAAACTCAGCATTTCATTTCCATGGCCATTGCGCCTATGATCATAGGATACGGTCTTACCGAGACTACTGCCATGGGCTGTCTCATGAACCCATTGGAGTGGAACGTCAACAATATGGGAGCCATGCCTGCGTCAATTGAGGTCAAGCTGGTTGACTTCGCGGAGGCTGGCTACTTCGCTCACAATAAGCCGAACCCTCAGGGCGAGGTGTGGATCCGCGGCCCGTCGGTCATGGAAGAGTACTGGGACAACCCTAAGGAGACCAAAGAGGCTATCACGGAAGATGGCTGGTTCAAGACAGGCGACATCGGTGAGTTTGACGGCAACGGCCACCTCAGGCTCATCGACCGAAAGAAGAACTTGGTCAAGACTTTGAACGGCGAGTACATTGCCCTTGAGAAGTTGGAATCCATTTATCGTGCGTCCGCACTTGTGGCCAACATTTGTGTGTATGCCGATGCCCAGAAGGCGAAGCCTATTGCGATTATAGTTCCTGCCGAGCCTGCTTTGATGAAGCTGGCAGAGAGCATCGGGATCAAGGGCACCTCTTTGGAAGGACTCGTACATGACCGGAAACTGCAGAGCGCCGTTCTCAAGGAGTTACAGAGCGCCGGCCGACAGGGTGGTCTTTCTGGCATCGAGATCATTGAGGGAGTTGTCTTATCCGACGAGGAATGGACACCCCAGAACGTGAGTTTATATAAATGACCCGGGTTGTCTCTAAAACTTCTTGGATGGCTAACATCTCTCGCAGGACTTGGTTACAGCAGCCCAAAAACTGCAGCGCAAGAAGATTTTGGATAAGTACAAGACCGAGGTGGTAAAGGCGTACGGCTCATCCAACTAGTCAAACACCTATATGCTTGTTTTCAGGTTGAGTTCACGTTCTGTAGGACTTGTTATTTGTCAAGGTCTCTGGTTTTTTTCGCCTTTTTTTTTCTTCTTCCACAGGTTGGGTTGGACTTCGAAACGCTTGATATCCAGGAGTACAGTGTACACGATTCGACTTTGTAACACATAATAACGATCGAGGCCCCTGTTTTCAATCCAAACCAGTTAATGCAATTCGTATTTCACAGTCACAGGTAGGGCTAAGGCTCTTGCAGAACTATAACGGAGCGAGTGCTGGAATTCCGTGGTTTTCGCACGCAAGCTGCTGCTGCCCGGGATGGCCCGGGTTGTTTTCAAGGCTGTCTTGCCGACTCGGGACTGCCGGGCAGACAGTAATTATGTTGAGGACAGCCGGTTCTGGCCACCATCTATTCTGGGTTTCCGACGGACCCAGCGGCCCTGGGTCCAGCAATCAGGTGGAGCGTGTTGGTCAAGATGATATTGTGAGACACAACACGGTAAAATCACTGGAATCCCATTCCTGCCTGGCCTCGGGTAGGAAAAAAATAATAATAATCGCACTTTGTCTCGCACAGCTCGCCTAGCCCGCAAAACACCACAATACCTTCCAAGTCATAGCGAAAGCTCCACTTACACCAGGCCATCGTACAGAGACAGGGCGGATACGATGGTCTCATCACGTTTGCTACCCTCCTTGAATTCTTCCATGTCGAGACTGCCGTTCTCGTCCTTGTCCATCATGCGAAAAATCTTCCGTACCCGCTTCTCGGGGGTGTCTTCGTCCTCAGGAAGCTTAACCATGGAGCCAACCTAGTTCCGAGATTGTCAGCGGGCAACATGGGACAGGCCGAGCAGTTTTCCTGAGAGGAGGGTACGGGATGAGAATGGGACCAGCACCATCGCAAACTGACCATCTTGTAAATCGCCTCGACGATCTTGAGCATTTCGTCGTAGCTAATCTTCCCGTCGCCATCGATATCATACAGCTGGAAAGCCCAGTCGAGTTTGTCCTCCATTTTTCCGCGGCTCGTAACGCTTAGAGCACATATGAACTCCTTGAAGTCGATGCTTCCTGACTTGTCGCTGTCGAAGACGTTGAAAACGTAGTCTGCAAATGAACTTGGATCGCCAAACGGGAAGAACTGTCTGTAAATCTTCTGAAACTCCTCCTTAGTGAGCATGCCCGATGGACAGTCCTTGAGAAAGCCTGGGTTGCTGGTCAGAACCGTTTGTTCTCGGAAAGTTCGCGATGCGCCCCGAGGAAACAGGGGAGGAAACGAGGAGATGTTTTCCGGGCAATTCGTGATTCGTTTTGCGCGCGATGAATTTTGGGGACTGTGACCAACGTACCCTTGTACCATTGTTGCAACTCCTTCTTGTCGAAATGGGTCGACTTCTGCAGTTCAGCAAGCTGCTCCTGGGAAAGCTTGGACTGGCTGTACAACGGCTTGTCAGCCCATGTCTCGGATGATCTCAATCGACGCAGGTGCTGGAGTCCTCGCTATAAGGTCCGCAGGGTGGGATTCCGTGCCGATGATGGTGACAGAACAGGGAAGGACGGAGGACAACGGCACTGTCCGGTGGGTGGCGATCGACTCACGATTTGCCCATGGCTATTTGAAAGCCTTAGCAGCCGAGAACAAGGCGCAGCGAGAGATATCCTAAAGATGCAGGAGGGGAGTCAAGGATCGTGCGAGCGGGCGGTGCGCGATAGGCTTCAGTCGGCAGTGAGTCTGTCGCAAAGAGGGATCGTGTGTGAGAATGATTAGCGTCGGCGGTTGCGGAGGTGGTGGCCGGCTCGGCGTCAGGTTGTCGGCGCGACAAAGTAGGTGAAAACAGGGTGTCCAGGATAAGCGCAAGGAGGCTCTTCCGTTTGTTGGCTAAGGCAAGTGACGAGGACGGCGCGTTGACGAAGACGAGGAGGACGGCGAGGCTGGATACAGGCAAACAAGGTGATGGTGGTAGTTGTCACAAGCGGGGGAGGGGAAAGAAATAAAGCCCCAGGATGCTTGGGGGGGACGGGACACTGGAGGCGACCAACCCAGCCAGGCGGGGGACCAGACCCGACGACCTGACGGGAACTGAGGGTTGAGGCCGGGAACTCTGGGTACCTAAGGTAGGTAGGTAAGGTAAGCTGAGGTGGCGGCGATAGGAGGGGCGGGTACCCTGTAACGAGGAAGCTGTAGCAGAGTAGATGCTGTGCCCGGCCTGCTGGGCAGGCAGTCAGCGAGGCGAGAATGAGGTGGAGATACCTCTCATGAAGTGGCTTTCAACGCTATGGGGGAAGTAGCTATCCACCTATCCCAGGTGAGCTTGCCTGCTACCTACCTCATCTTAAGTACCTAGGTACTAAGGTAGGTAAGTAGGTACGTGAGGCAGGCATGATTTGAGGCTACCCGCCTCCCCCCCCTTTTTTTTTCGTTCTTTCATACGCGCTGCAGTCGCCGCAGCAAAAGAGCGAGCTGGTCACTGTGGCCGGTGTCATCCGTCCAATATGGTGGAGGCAGCCCGACAGCTTCGATGACACTGCGCGGCTCGTCAACTATTATTGAACTGCTAGGACGGTGACGGTGACGGTGACGGTGACGGTGACGGGACTGCATGCGTGTGCCACCAGCCACACTGCGCTTGGATATCTGCTCAGCGGCATGTACTGGAGCCTCGAAACATTCGCACAAGTGGGGGTTATCTTTTCTACGACGGCGAAAGTACTAGGCACGCTACTTTAGAGCAGAAGGCGAAGAAAAAAGAGCTGTTTACCTCGGGCTTCCAAATGCTGAACGGGGCCCGCTCCTTCCACCAAAACGCGACTTGTCCCACTCGACGTCCAAGTTGCCAAGCGGCCTCCGACAACACAGCCCGCCACCTGGGTGCGCAGGAACGTGTGGTAGTCTGCCAATGGTAGGAGACAGGACGTCAGCTTGGCTCCTTCCCAATGAACAGTGACCTGAACAGTCTGCCCCAGTCTACATACGTCTTCATGCAAAAGGCAGTTCCTTAGGCATCCCTTGATCATCGCACGAAGAAAACCGCCACCAGCTTCTGTGTGTGGGGATGAAGAACCACCGGAACAGTATCACGACGAACCACGGCAGCGCTGGCCACCACGCATATATTCCGTCCTCGAACGACTTGTCTCGGTTTGTGAGAAGAAGCGGGATCGTTGTTGTCTGCAATTAAGCCATCATGTCAGCCATCCATCGCGCGTCTGTGCCGAGGGAGAGGGGAACAAGACCGTAATTGGTACATACCTTAAGCGCCGGGTCGTTGCTCTTGCTAAGCAGCTCTTTCATGAGTCTCTCAAACCACTCGTCCCATTCGACATCATATTCTCCGAGCTTCAGCAACGTGTCAATCTCGTCACTCAAGTGCTGCCGAAGGCCTGGCATGAACGAGTCAATGATGCCCTTGAGCTTCACTCCGCTGTACGCCTCCTCGCCCTCCCCTTCCCCCTTTTGCACTTTCTCCAAATAGCTCAGGTACTCATGCAATCCGCCAGTGAAGGCCTCATGTTGGGCGATGTTGGCTTCCATGAGCCCTGGTGCTTCTGCCATCTTCTCGATTGCCGGGAACACATCCCTCTCCTCAGTGTGATGGTGTTCCTCCACCATCTTTGCCCACTCTATGGCGTACGAAACAAAGTCCCGGACGTCGCTCGGCGACTTCTCTACGTTGATGCACTGCAGGTAGACCGTGTTGATGATGCGGATGATCATGTTGTGGATAATGATCATGTCTTCGGCCATGCGCTTAGCTCCGGTGGTCTTCACGCCTTTCTAACCGGGCACAGAATGTTAACCCAAGTTCGACGATTGCCAAGCGCTCACCACAGCAAAGAGTCTCTGTAGACATACCTGAGATCCTACACGAGCACTGCTAATGAGGGTAAAGGGCCCGTCGGCCCATGGCCCTTGGCCAGTCATGCTGATCGGATAGTATAATCAAAACTCAACTCTTTTCGCAAATGTTGGTGGTAGAAATGCTGTCAGCTATCGAGGAGATGACAAGATGACCTACGTATGCTCATACGTCCGAACAAAGACTGCAAGCGATCAGGAGCTGCCTGGGCCATATTTTAACTGTTCCTCGAGACTGGGACTGTCAAGCCTAGTTTCCTTTCCATGAGTGGCTGACGAGACAGGATTTTGAGTGCTGACGATAGCACCGAACGCGGCAAGACGAGCCGGGTTGATGGCCCGTCTGAGATGCTGTCACGCCTTGGCCCTTTTTAACCCAACGCCTGTCAACCTATCGTTGTCTTTGGATTGTCAGGATTTGCCCTTTGATTGGGCTTACTGTTTTAATTACCCCCGGTTTGCCACAGAAAATCCAAAGTCCCAAACGCTGGCAGGTTGCCCTTGGGAGCATCTGCTTCTTCGAGTAAGACCTCGATTGCGGATCTGGGGCGGGAGCTTTTCAGACACAAGTCGACGGAGGAGACTACAGGTCACTAAGAATCCTCATCACAGGATAGGTAGCGATGATTGGAAGGTGCATTATCTGACGGGCCACCAATACGCCATGAACCCAACACTTGAGACTGGTCATGCCGCAAGAGTTGACAAAAAACTTGATAATTACGAAAGCAGAATGAATGATCCATGCCCGTGTCTCGTTAAGCTTGTTTCTCCCAGGCCGGTTCCTTCATCGTCAAAATCAACGAAAAACGCCTTGGTCCACCAGTAAAAAAACCACCCAAGCCACCACCGCGTCTCTCAGTTGAGCTCACCTGGCCCGCCTCATTGTGCGCTGGTATTTTCTTTAACCAACTACGGCTTTCATGCTTAGACTTTCCAAGAATGCCCCTAGATCCTCCTTCTTGACCTCCACCACGCAATGCTCAAAGCTGTCAATTCGAACCCGAGCGTTGGTCTCCGCGACAACTTCCTGAAACGCGGAGCCGAATCGGTTCAAGCCGTATCCCCTGTCTCTAGCGGGCCCGTCCTCGTCCTCGGCCTCGTCCGAATCGGACCCGTCTGATGCCTCTGATTCGGTATCGAGCTCATCATCGTCCTCATCATCCTGCCCTGCCGCTCGGCGAGCAGCTTTTTTTTCTTCGCGAATCTTTTCCTGGTTTCGCCGAGAATCCTCCTTTCGTTTGGCCCTTTCGTCCTTGGCTGCCTTTCGTTTCTTTGCCGCCTCACGGTCGAGAAAGGTCGAGTCCGGCCCACCGCCGCCGCCTGTTCCGACAACGAGGTACACGCCGCGTTTGTCGTTCAGACTAGCGACAACTAGGGGAGTACCGCGGCCGCCATGAGAGAGGCGACCTGTAGCATCCTTCTCCTGCTCCACAAGAGCCTCACCGATCCAGAGGGCTAGCTTGGTAAGGGCAGCTGGATGACCAAAAACGGGAACGTCAGGACCCTCCTTGACCACACACATGCGGAACGCCCGCAGATGCTTGATTTGTTTCTTATTTATGAGCGAAGTGCCAGTGCGATAAATGGCGCGGTGTAGAAATTGGGCAGTCGGCAACCCCGACTTGAGATCATCGATGCTGGCGCGAGATTGTTAGCAGCAAGATGCGCGATGAAATCCAATGGGGTACATACTTTTCGAGGGCATCATACGCTTCCCAGAACCGGCTAACCCACTCTTCGCTCTGTGCGTTGACAATATCTTCGTCATTGCCTTCCTCGATTTGAGAATCTTTGATTGGATGAGCCAGCTCCGTGCCATCTGCATGTTTGCCGACTTCTAGCAGAGCGCCGATGACAACACCAACATCCTGTGCGCTCAGTGTAGCTCGCCAACCCCAACTTCGAACGAAACCCCAGCCATCCTTGGCGCCAGCGCGGTCTTTGCCATCGGTGTCTACCGCAGGGACCATGTCATCCAAGTTGTAGAGAGAAGCGTATTTTAGGAGCTTGGCTCGAAGCTCACGTTTGAGCATCATATCCATGTGGGTGTAGCTCTGTTTGCATTGGACAAGGCTCACGCCCATCTTGGCCAACAGCTTGTGCAGCCGTTTTAAGCCAGTCTCACTCCACGTCTTTAGACGGGCAAATAGGTAGGGCGAATGGAGCATGCTGTCGTAAAGACTCCAATGTCTAATGAGAAGGAATTTGGGTTCTGGAGATAGCCTGATGCTCGTGTCCTCCGGGCTCCGGGCAGTAGTCGGAATGATACCGGAGTTTTCGGCCGACGTACGGGAGCTATTGACATCCGGAGGATTCAAACGGCGAACCTCATCTCTGAGAAGTTGGCGGATGCGAGCGCCACGAACTCCCATCCAGCCGTTACCCTGCCCACGGTCTGAGTTGCGGACTGGGACCGCAATGCCTGCAGACGACCTGCCATAGAGCTCCATGGAGGTGACACCAACAATTGTTAGCCAAAGGAGATCATTGTCTTCACGGCCAAGCTCTGACGCCAACGAATACATCATTGAAGATATGGGTTCCGAAAACGAGGCGCCAATTTTGTAGTACTTTCGCAGGACCCCCTCTTTCTCTCTGCGCAAGCGCAGCAGGCGACGTCGCAAGGACCTCGCTGAAGGTGCAGGGGGTGGTTGAGCAGCAGATGGGGGCTCCAGAGGGTCGCTAGACAGAACCATGCCAGCGTCACGGAGAGACACTAGTCCTCTGTGAGCTGGTCGCTGGGGCGATGAGGGTATGGACGAGGACTATTCGGTCTACGGTCAGTAGCTGTCCTGTGATGAAGAGCGATCAGGAATGGGTTTAACTCACAGAATTGCTTCTTCTGCGCTGCCGTGGCCTTTCGTCTGTGTCGCTGGAATCTTCGTCCGGATCTGACCAACTTTTTCTTTTCTGGCCAGCATGAACAGAACCTTCAAAGAGATCCTCGTCATCGTCGTCTTCTTCTCCAAGATCTTCTCCGTCGTCGTCGATTTCGGGCATGTCAAGCAGAGCCAGATATGCATCTTTTTCGGTCGTGAGGTCGTCCTCTATGTCGCCATCATCAAAAACAATGATCCCTCCCTTTCCTGGTGTATAGGCACGCCCAATTCGACCCGCAACTACTCCGCTAGGACAGCGTGCCTGAAGACTTTCATCCTCATCAATGGCAGGCTCAAGAGGAAAGCCGCCGAAGACATTGCCAAGGTTCCAGGGACGGTGAGAGTCGATGACCCAGACCTCAACGCCGCCAAAGGTCAATTCGTCTCCTTCGGGCTCCAGCCCAAGCAAAGTCCCCAGGTCGACCATGCCCCCAACACCGAGACAGACGACGACTCCTCCGCTCCCCCCTTGGGTTTCCATCATGGGCTGGACCAAGTCCCGGCCGGCGCGCTCGAGATCGGCATAGCCGGAAACAGGCTGTATCTTGTGGGGGATGTAGTCGTGTTTCAATAAACGAGTCAAGATTCGGCATGCGCAGAGGGCGTCAGGCTCGAGCGCAACGAGGACGAGAACGGGTGGTGATAGTGGGTGTCGCGTGTTTTGTAGGTGAAGGTAGAGTTTGGATATCTGAGACCGTGGAAGATACATGGCTAAGAGGATTTCGACGCGTTCCCACGGTATCTGCCAAGCGGCTTCATGAGATGCAAAGGTCGCTTCTTTTTCTCAGGGTACGGAGGCGGGCTTTGGATGTTATTGGCGTTCTGGGGCAGGCCGGGAAGACGGGCGTCGGTAGTTTGGAAGCAAACGCGGCAAGCAACTCGAACAATGTGCTGGTAGGATCTGATCTGATTGAATCTTCAAGAACGGCAGATTGAATTTGCTACCTCATGCAAAGTCGATCTGCGGCGAGTGCAGTCGGTAGAGATGTTGACGAGTAGATTTTGACAAGGCAGGCAGTATGGACAAGGTACCAGCACCAGGGAAACGGGGTGGGAGTGATTGACTGAGAGGATGGCCCTGGCGGGTGATTGCCTGAGTGTTTTGCGCGTGAACGCGGTTTACGCGACTGGGGATTGATCTGTACGCGTGTGGTGGGGACGGGACGGGCACGCCCAGGTAGGTAAGGTGGTTAAGGTGAGGTGCACCACACCTAGGTTACCTGTCAGTGTCAGTGCAGTGAGAGAGGCTTTTGTTTTGTTCCCTATTCTGTATAGTTAAGAGAGGCAATGTAGCTAAGGCACCTAGTTACCTAGGTAAGGTGGGTAGGTACCTAGGTACCTTACCTCACGTGGGATGGACCGGGACACTCAGGGAGTTCGGCCGAATGCACTGACCAGATGGAAAGCCAGAGGGAATGGAGGGGAATGTCTTTCCAGGTTTGCTGGCATCATTTATCCTTACTTCGAGCCGTACAACTCCCGTCCCTTCGCCTCTCTCGACGCCTTTCAGGTCACAAAAATGCTGCGATCGCTTTCTCGAGAAGCTGCAGGCGCATACTGAGGTACACCCGGGCTGTTGTGTCTGTTGCATGCCGCATATGCGCGACCTCCTCGAAATGGCAAAGCCCGCGTGGCTCGTCCTCGCGAATTGGTTTGCCCCCTCCATCTAGTGTGTTGGGTACCTTGACTCACAGTGATCCGCCTGCCCGCCATGCAGGGGATTCAACTGAGATGAGGTGTCCGTTGTGACTCTCGCCGTGGTCGTGGATTCGGACATTTACCGCCCCAGCACGTTGGAGCCGGTTCTGCTCTTGTATTACTTTAATCAACGGATGGGCATCCTTAGAACACTGGGACCAGCCCCGTCAACACCAACGGCTGCGAGCAGCTGGCCGTGATTGGCCTACCACACCGTTGGTACTGACAGTAGACCCGGTTCCTGTTACTAGGTGGTGTGCTCTGTTCCCTCTCGCCTGGCTTCTTCCCCGTCCCGCGTCTCCCAGATCATCCTCCCGTCTCGCCCTCTTTCTTTTCCTTTGCCTTGACCACAATTCGTTCCCGCAGTCTTCCGTACACCTACTGTCACGCTCTGCTGCTGCCTGGTCTTTTCGGCATTGCATGTCCAGCAGTCTCCACGGCTACGATTTACTTTGGCACCTTCCCACGTCGAGTACACATCTCACTTGCTGGACCCTCAGCTCGACGCTACCCGACCCTACAGTCCGGTTCGGACATTGCTGATGCAGCCGCCTGTCACTCAACACTCGCCACAGCCTTAGAACAAGCTCACAAACACCGGCAAAACCTGCTCCGTTACGAGGCATCTTGTCTGCCCACAACACCTTACAGGAAGGCAGTGCTATGTCGATGAATTCATACCCATCCGTTTCTCTGCAGAGCTGGTCTTAGGTCACCTCTCAGAGGCGCTGCGGCCATGAATACGTCCACCACCGAGCCAATAGAGCCGGCTCCAGCAGACACAGTGGATGACGACGCATTCGAGGGTTCGGATTACGGGGAGTCGCTCGTATCCTCGGGCTTCACATCGCTTGCTTCCCGCGTCATGAGACATTCGCACGAAGGTGGCAGGTGTGTTGCCCACACCCTCGTCTCCGTCCTTGGAACAAAACTGAGCCTTCACTCAATAGACGATATCAGTCCTTCCTCCAGGGAATATACCCCCTGCCCAACGACGAGACGGAACAGTTCCGGGAAGAAATGAAGCACCAATTGATCAAACGTCTTCTTGATGGCAATGACTACCTCTCTCCCATCAATGACAGTCCACAAAAAATCATGGACGTCGGCACCGGTACCGGCCTTTAGGCTGTAGAAGGTAAGTCTGGTGCTAGTCGTTCCCCGTGCATATGTTGGGTGAAGCTTGCAGTTCTGACCCATCTTCAAGTGGCCGACAAGTTTCCTAGTGCACATGTCATTGGAGTAGACATCTCTCCAATCCAGAATGCCTATGGTCCTCAGAATGTGGACTGGCGAATTGACGATGTTGAAGAAACCTGGTCCCCTCTATACTCTGACTTGGACTTTGTGCATTTGCGTTCAGTCAGTGTCACCCTTCGAGACCCAGTAAAGGTCATCACGTCGGCGTATCAGTAAGATGAATGCCTTGGGTTAACCCGTTCAACGGCTGACCTTGTCACAGTAATCTAAAACCAGGCGGTTGGATTGAATTCCAGGACGCTGGCATCAAAATCGGATGCGACGATCACACGATGCCCGAGCACTATGCTCCAACAAGATTCATGGACCTTTTCGTTCGCATGTTCAGAACTCACTTTCCTGGGACCTAGGGATTCCCCTCATCCTACCCGAGATTTTAAGAACTATTGGTTTCGTCAATATCCACTGCCGAACTCACAAGATGCCCATCGGGCCATGGGCCAAGAGTAGGCATCAGCGAGAAATCGGTCTCTTCCTGAGTAAGGACGTCTTGTGGCAGCTCGTTCGCGCCGTCCTCGTGAAATGGCCGCAGATGGGCCTCACCCAGCAGGAGGCCGAAGCCATGGAACAGGACATCCGAAAGGCGTTCCACGACACCAGAATACATGCGTATCTGCCGTGGATCTCCGTCTGGGCCCAAAAGCCTTCCGCTTGAAACGAGACCTCCGCTTCCTGTGGTACCTTTACTGGCAGGCTACGATCTACCGATTGCCGACCAGAACTTGCTGCGCCGTTCGCCAATGGTTTCAATACGTTCCAGAAGGTTCAATTAATTGTCAGTCCGGGCCAAGAAGTGGTCTTTCTGGCCGCGCTTTAGACTCATGCAAGAGTCTCAGCCAGACTTGTGACAGTGGCCACGTCGGCCGCTCCATGTCGTGGGTCGCGTCGCCTAGGAAGCAGACAGGGATAATACACGGTTGACAGCATGCGGGGCAGGGCGTAATAATTTGGCTTGATCGCGGTGCGAAGACTCGAAAGCATGACCGCCTGGGCACCGACGATACAGTCAGCGACCTCCGACAGGAAAGCTCCCCATCACAACACACCCCCCGTGCGATGTGATGGCCTGAGGGTATAGAAAATGCGACATCAATCTAGCAGCTATACATGTCATGGCTTTCTCCCATACGTAACGTACACGTCGAAGTAGCCATGCCTCCTTACATCACGCCATTCTGCGCTCGCCCTCGCGCTGAAGTCCCATACCTCCTCCTTTCTCCACCCCATAAACCGGGTGAAGAGGGCCAAAGTCATCGACTCAAGACCAACACTGAAGTTGGCTTCGGTCCAGAGGCCCAGGGTTTTATGCCTGACATCCCGCGGCCATTGATTGATGGGCCATTTGAACGGTATTCGCACAATGTCAATGAAGCCTGCATTGGCCATCATTTCCGCTGCCCGGCCACACGTGTCGAGGAGGAAACCCGATCTTCTACCAGCCTCCATCATGAGATCATTCCATCTCCCCAGATCGCATTCGGGTGGAATCGTCCCATCATCGCATCGCATGGGAAAGTCGATATCCTGGATCTCGAGCCACCCCCCCGGGTTGAGGTTCCTGCGAGACAATGTTAGCGAAGGATAGGATGATGAGTGCAGAGCCGTGATTGGAGAAGCGACTGACTCAAATGCTTGTCGGTGAAAGTTGGGCCAGTCTCTAAAGGCACCTGTCATCATCATGCTGTGGATGTAGTCAAACTTTCTCGAAAAGCTCCATTCCTCTTCGAGGTCGTCTATTTCGTAGTGGACGTTGGGTGGTGTGCTGTAATTGTTAGTGAAGCCGCAGTAGAGCAGGATGAGCGATTCTTACAAGCCTGGCTGAACGGGCGAAAGGTCCACGCCAATAACCTCGGACTCGGGATGCTCTTCGCCTGGTCCCGGAATAAACACGCCTTCAGGTGCTAAAGGGACTCGGATAGTGTCTTACCAAAGTCTATTGCCCACATGCCTATGGGGTTGTCAATATGCAGGCTACAAAGACGTACGCGCGGAGGCCTAAGGATCGGGGCAGAGACGGAAAGGAAGAGAGCGACACACACCTATGCCACATCCAACATCTAAAACCCTATGTGGGTGGTAGACCGGCGCGAAGTTGAGCCTATTTTCGAACGTCAACTGGCATAGCTGGTACTGAAATGCTATTGCGACAGTTAGAGAGCAAGTACATCGCCGAATTGGTCTGCTAATAGCAGATGAACTCACCTTGGCGGTCGAGCTCCTCCTGCAGACAAAGTTTCGTTAGTCCAGACGACATCATGTCGGCAGTCGTATTACGCTCGGAGATACTCATACTTGATCAGTTGGCAAGACATATTTGCCATCTTTGTACCCATGGTAGATGCGGCCGTTCTCCTCCATGGCCCGGACTATGCTCGACCGTAATGAAGCGGTTGACGAAGGCCATGCTTCGGACTGTGATGCGTAAGCTCGCGAGTCTACGATTCCATTACTGCTGAATAACTTGCTTCGCCCAATGCCGAGTCGACATCGCTCCCCAAGTTGCTCTGCATATCGGCATCGGAAACTTCCTGTAAGGCGTGGTAAGTAAGGAACATAATAGAGATCAGGATCCCGAAGGTGGTGAGCCTCCACTTCGACGCTGACCTCGTCAGGTTCCAGGGCCAGATTGGCCCCCAGTGGAAGCACAGTGTCGACACTATGCGTCGCTTCCAGGATCGGGTCCTCCATCGCCATCGTCTTGTCTCGTCGAAGCTCCTTCTAAGTCCCTGGCAGTTGTGCAGCATTAATTCGAGCCTGCTCCGACAATTCCGACAACAATACAGTGGCGAGATAGCTCAAGGCTCTCTTAGCTCTTTCTTCTTTATCTATTTTTGCTTCAAGAGAAACCCCGAAAGCGGCTCTACACAATTCTTGAAAGGTGCTGGCCGTATCCCCCCTCTCTGCCATTGAGGATGGAGACGGAAGGTCACGTCTGTGGTAATAACATGAGGGGAACGGCTCGGCTGCGGTGCTCCTTGCGAGGGCAACACGAACAAGTGGCTTCCTTGTCAGGCCGAATTTTCGGTTCCGTGTCACCCAAAGCTGTGTATCTTTCTATCTTCCCTTTGGGCTAACCACCCTCCCCCCTCAACAGAGGGTAGGGACTCCGTGCCTTCTCTCTATCAGCGCAAAGAGCTCGGGACGATGGCGTCAGCCGCCTTCTGATATAACAACAACAGATGATGCTGTACAGAAGTTAGTCACGGATGCAAGAACGATAGCTATGACATTGCTCGACTGGTTTTGCACAGGGTCGGTCCAAGCCTACGCACAGTTGAGGTATCAATATCGTACTGGCGAGGAGGGTTGCACAAGCCACGTGCATTCGTCCAGTCATAACTTGACAGCTATAACCTGCGACTATGGCTAGGGGGTAGGTTGGCGCCTTCCGAGCTGTCAACTGCTGATGATATGCACGAACCATGGTCGTAGCCTGCAGAGAGGGGTAGGGATCCCGATGGCGAGGGTTCAGGTGGTGTTTTGAGAGCCGACAGTCGTAGCATACATCACGGCCGTTCCGCTGAGAGTCGGTTTCCTGCATACAATCATGCAGGCAGTCGGGGAGAAGACAAATACGGTGGGTAGCATGTTGCCGCTGTGGCCCACCGACGTCTTGCTATCATGACCATGCGGCGAGAAAACAGGAATAGTGGGTGTGGTAGCCGGCGAGAAAACAAGTCCGTCTGTCCGTTTCCTGAGAATCCTGCAGAGCCCGAGGCGATTCTTGTATTTCGAGCACCCGTGCGACAAAACAAGAGTGGCCGCAACCAGTGTGACTGGCTGGGTCCATCCACCCACTTTAGTCCAACATCAGGTTCGAAAGATCCTGTGACCCGTTCCCTGAAATATCCTCGTGAACCGAAGAGCATGGAAAACTGCATAGTGGCTAGCAGTTCATGGCTGATGGCTGATGGTTTATGGCTATGGCAGTGGAGTTTGGCCACCACGATCATGCATGTTACACGCAGATACCTTGGGCAGGATGCAGTATTCTCCCAGGCTATAGTGAAAGATGGGCACACGGCCGACGCATGCAGATATTCCTTGGGAAATTGACTGGCAGGTACACGTAGTCTTCCGATGGGTCGGTCGGCAAAGGAGGCCAACAAGTCGGACGTCTTGCGTCTGACCGGCGTGTCTGTCACGTCTGGCCAGGCTCCCGTTCGATGCCTAGCAGGCTAGACCGGAAGACTGCAGATGACAGCTCATATTTTCTATTGGATGTAAGTGCAGCAGCGAGACCAGAGAGGTAGTCGGGCAGATAGGTCACGACGGAAGGAGAAGAGTCTTGGACGGGGTGCTGGGAGAAACCCTCGTCAAGACGGAAATGGCAGCAGCGGGAATGATGTCAAAAGCAAAGGAGTGAGAGGAACAGAGAGGGGAAGCAAAAGGAGGGAGGAAACAACAGATCTGTGTCAGTTTTGATTCTTAGGTCGTTACCAATTTGCCTATTACATTACCTGCCTACCTACGATAGGCTACGGCAAAATGAAGGTGAGTATTTGCGATTCTGCCGCCTTCCCAGTGCTCTCGGCAGGCATCTGCCATGGATACCGTAGATATCAAAGGACCCTTACAACGATGCGGAAGATATTTGAAATGACCCTACCACACATCGTGCCTGTCACTGCAGGGTAAGGTACCATGAGGTGTCAACAAAGAAAACCCGGCCAGGCCAGGCCAGGCCAGGCCGGAGGCGGTCGAGGACACTCACCCTCCCTCTCCCCTTCACTCGCTCTCGCCCACCTAGGTGTTCGTTGGTAAGGTACCTACCTCACCCCATCCGGCAATCTTACCTGCAACTGGTTACTTACACGTTGATTTTCATGCCATCACCGGGCGTCATTGCCGCCTGCCGCACTTTTATGCTCTTGCCCTCCCGGGAAGGAGTCGATGCCATTCAAGCCCCGGCCGCCGTGCTTACCTTACCTTCCGTTACCTACCGGACTGCCTCGACCTGAGGTACCTTACTTTACCTGATCACCTACCACTCTTCCCCATCTCTCCGAGGGCCCCGAAGTAAAGTAGGCAGGTAGGTACCTACATAACTTAACTTCTGGTTTGTCAAGTCAAAAACTTGCCTCCTCCCTCGACTTCTTCCGGCTGTCAAACTCACACCCTGCATTCACTCTCACACTCAGCCCGATCCACACCACCCTCGACGGAGAGGAAGGGGGAGAAAGGAAAAGAAAGACAAAACCAGGTGGAAGACAAAAACCAGAATCCACTCTTCATCTCACATCACGGCCCCAGACCCTGCCTCACACAACCGCCTCAGACAAGGCGTCATGGCTGCCCTCATCGAGCTTTCGGGCCGCTTCCAGAGCCCGTTTATTCCTCTGCTTGCTGCCCTTCTCATACTTCTAACGGTGATGAACTACCGCTCATGGAACCGTCTCAGACATATTCCTGGACCGCCAGGTGCTGCCTTCAGCAAATGGTGGATGCTACGTAACACACTGGGTGGGCAGATGCATCTCGCCCTCAAGCGAGCCTGTGATGACTACGGTGAGTCAGCCCTGGAAACTTCCTACGCCCGGTCCCCAGCACATTTCCAGCCCTCACCACTCAACCGCTCGCCTCTGCCACAGAGATGAGTTGTGCCGTCCGAGAAGGTCTCAGACACACATGCGCACTCGTCCACTGCGTGCTCAAGAGCCGCAGACATTTCCCCTGTCTGGCTTCCACAGGCTGCTGACAGAAACCCTTGCGTTGTAGGCCCGGTCGTCCGCATTGGTCCCAACGACTTGGTAACCAATGACGCAGAACTGCTTCGTCGGATGTGGGCGGTTCGTTCGCCATATCGCAAGGGCGCCTGGTATCAGGCCGTCAGATTCGATCCTACCAGGGACAACATCATCTCTATGAGAAACGATCATGACCACAATGAACTCAGAGCCAAGATGGCCATTGGTGTAAGTTGTGCCATGTTCCTGTCTTTCCTGGTCTTACATTCGATTTTCATCAACGCGCCATCCTCTGACACAAAATCAAACAGTACTCTGGCAAGGAAAATGAGGGTCTTGAGTCCACCGTCGACATTCAAATACAGTCACTCGTCCGGCTCATTGAGGAGAAATATGTGTCCACTGCTGTCAACTTCCGACCTGTGGATTTGTGCAGGAAGATTCAGTACCTCACATTGGACATAATCACATCGCTCGCGTTTGGCTATCACTTCGGGTACCTCGAGCAAGATGCCGACGTTCACCAATACATCCAGACGACCGAGGAGAGCATGCCAGTCATGATGACACTCACCGTGTTCCCTCAACTGGCAAAACTGCTTCAGTCGCCCCTTTTCCGCCGGGCAATGCCCTCGGAGCATGACCGCGTGGGTTTTGGCCAGTTCATCGCGTGAGTGATTGTGTTGCTCTGTGCCATCTTTGGTGTAAACACGAGACCACTAACTGTTGTTTGTTTCATGCTAGCGTCGCGAAGAGGGTTGTCGCAGAAAGGCTCATGTCAGACAAAACGGCGAAACGGCGGGACATGTTAGGGTCCTTCCTTGCACATGGCCTGACCAGAGAGGAGGCTGAGGGTGAGACATTGGTACAGATCATAGCCGGATCCGACACGACGGCCACTTCAATCCGGACTACAATCCTGTATCTGATGACAGCCCCATCCTGTTATTCCCGCCTTACCAACGAGATACGGGATACGGCGCGAAGGGGTATGATATCATCCCCCATTACTAACCGGGAAGCGGGTGACCTTCGCTACTTGCAAGCTGTGATCAAGGAAGGCTTGCGTGTGTTTCCTCCGGTTACCGGCCTCATGTCGGCAACAGTGCCCAAGGGAGGTGATTTCATGCATGGCATGAGTATACCCGAAGGAGCTGATATTGGTTGGACTGCCTTCGGAGTGCTCCGCTCCAAAACGGTATACGGCCCAGACGCCGACGTGTTCCGGCCGGAACGCTGGTTAGAGGCCGAAGATGATCAACTCAAGTCCATGACGGCGCAATGGGAACTGGTCTTCAAGTACGGCAAGTGGCAGTGTCTGGGGAAGACGGTGGCCCTATTGGAGATGAACAAAGTGTTCGTTGAAGTAAGTCTTCTCTGGGCTAGCCAGCGTCCTGCGCAAGAGGCATCTTTGGTTGACTAACTGTCACTGCCAGCTCTTGCGGCGATTCGACTTTGCCCTGACGGATCCTACCAAATCATGGAACTCGTTCTCAGCTGGAATATTTATTCAGTCTGGCCTATGGGTTAGAGTGAGCAGAGTGGAGTAGCCGAGACGAGAGGTAGCCAAAAGGTCATTGGAAAGATCAGGTGTGGGATGTGGATGGCGAATCCTTTGAGAATAGGTGCGAATGATACAGCACACATGCATGCGTTGGTAAAATTGTAGATGGAAGCACATACAACCGAAGCAAGTTGGCAAGAGCCAAGCGTCCCCCCCTCTCCCCCTCCTTTGGACTGTAGGCTACCAAATACTGTTTGAAGGCATTCAACCTGTGTTGAAAGCGAACCGTAGAGTGCTTTGCATACCGGTCGACCCTGTGGGCGGATGAGGATAGGTCGGTCGCATGCTTCAGAGATCCGAGACCGAAGTTCTCTCGGCGAGTCATGGATGTGCGTTTTCTGTTGTGTTCGTGTGGACGGTTCAGAAGGTTGCAAATACTAATTAAATAGATTTCTGATGGACGTGGTAAAGGTGAGGTGCTAATTAGGCGATCCTTTCCTCCT